AGACGTCGAGGTCCCTGAGGAGAACGTGCTTGGCAAGCCAGGAGATGGCTTCAAGACAGCTATGGGTGCTTTTGACATGTGAGCAATGAGCGTGACCCTTGACAGACGCTCAGTATCGCTTTGCTGATCTCTGCCCCGCCCGGCCGCAGCACTCGTCCCTTGATCGCCGCTGCAGCCACTGGTTTGGCTCAACGTGCTTTGACCGAAGCAGCCACTTGGGCTCACGAGCGCAAGACGATGGGCAAGCCCATCATCAAGCACCAAGCCGTCGCCTTCATCCTTGCTGACATGGCGATGGATGTCGAGTCCAGCCGCAACCTGACATGGAAGTCTGCGTGGATGAAAGACAATGGCAAGAGAAACAGCTACTACGCCTCTATCGCCAAGTGCATGGCTTCTCGTGCCGCCGTCTCAAATGCCAACCTGTAAGTCACGCTTGACCAATTATGTCGCAGTGCGTGCCTTGCTGCGTTTGCTGACCCTCTCATCATTACGTCTGATAGTGCGGTCCAAGTCTTTGGTGGTATGGGCTTCAACACGGAGTCTCCCGTCGAGAAGCTGTACAGAGATGCGAAGATCTACGAGATCTACGAGGGAGTGAGTGTGACGCAGCGTCCATTACTTGCCAGTCACGAGCGACCCGACGCTGATTCTCGCATCCACTTGTGCTCGCCACACGCTCCTAGACCTCTCAAATTCAACGCTTGATTGTCAGCAGATTCGTGGAGGACGCATACAAGCCTTAGAAAGCCTTGTCGGATCCCCGCAATCAGTCAGTACACTCGTACAGGCCGGTATGTCATGCATTCAGGTCGAGTCGCGAGACCTGTTCAGAAGCAGGACAATGATATGACCGATATTGGATGTTGCACGCACAATTGCAGAGAGGCTTGCCCGCCTTCATGATTGTGTGGGACGAGTGGAGCAAGCGTGAATTACAAAGCATGATGGAAGACTCGTGACTGCCGTCCGCTTCGGACGCGCGGACGTGCACGTGGTGGCAAATTGAGAAAAGAGACAAATAAGAGAGATGGATATCAAGCGCTTTCGCATTTATTGTCGGGTTTCGGGTCTCGCGAATCTGAAATGCGAATGACCGACTTCCGACGCGAGATTGACTCGGTGCAAAAGCGCGACGAAGCATGCAGTGCTGCATAGCGTCGTTCAAGCTGCTGCTGCTGCTACGACTACGACTGCTGCAGTAGAGTCAGAAGAGTCGTGGCAAGCGACTTGAAGGTCTTGTGCTTGTGGGTATGGTTGGATCTTTCATCATTCTTCCAAGAAAGGCTTGAGAGAGCGCGAAAGATTTGCACGGCTATGCGCACTGACGACCGTCGTTGAGCATTCGATTGCGCTTTCGCAAAGAAGGTCCGAGGCAAGAGTTGAGTCGTCGAGTTCTCAGCAGGGCTTGCTTGATCAACCAAAACCCCGCACTTTCGGAGATTGGATTGCATGCCCATGCGGCAGCAGCCACGCGCGCGAAAGGG